TGGTCAAGCCCATGACCCTTCAGAGCCTGCCCACCTCTGACGACAATCAGCACAAGAACGGAAAGGCCCAGCCTCCTCACCACTCTCAGTGCAGCTCTGTAGGGCTGTGCCAGCCCCAGAAAACAGGAGAAGCCTTCCTCACAGCTGCCCACCACCCAGCTTCTCTGGGGGCATCTCCTGTACTTCCCCAGCAAGAGGCCCCAGGGGTGAGGCACCCTGATCCTTCAAGCCTCAATTACAACTTCTGCCTCCCCAACATCAAACCTTTCCCTGAGTTCTCCTCCTTCTGCTTGTCCCTCAGTGGTGACATCCACCCCTCCATGCTCCATCCCAATGAACAGCCCAGTGCTCTCACCTGTCTCACTTCCACCCCACAGCATGAGGTCCCTGAGGGAGGGCTCTGTGCCTAGTCCCTGTCTCAGTCTTCTGTGGCACCTGCCTCTATCACTGAGTGTGGGTTCTGGACTCAAGAGCAGCTGGATCCAAACACCAGCTCCCACCCTTACTAGCATCTATAAAATGGGATGGCAACAGCACCTTCCTCTTAGACTCAGAAAATTAAATGTACCCAGAATGCTTACCCAAGGGTACGGTGCACACTAAGCACTAATTGTTTGTTTGCTGTAACTGTTTATCTAATGCCATGCTGGCGTTAATGTATGTTTGTTAGATGAGTTGGGAATGCCTGCTGATGCTGGACTGAGCAGGCTCATCTCCATGGGAGACAATGGAGAAGGCGCCTCATCCCTTGGCAGTTTTCCCACTTTGTTCCCCTGGGCCTGTTCTGCCCTCATAGCTGGACCTTCCAGTGTGCAAACCCTCTCTCTCCTGCAAGCAAAACATGAAAAATAAACTTGGCTTTGAATCCAAGGCCACAGATGCTTTTGATCTCTGTTACAAAGAAAAGCAATTATTGGACACAAAAGCCCTGATTTATTTATGAAATGCAATGGACATCTTTGGGGCGGGAATGAGAAAAGTCACTCAAGACAAAGTCCTTGTGGCCACACAGTGAATGGCTGCTTTCAAACAGCCTCCCGAACGCCCTCTCCTCTCTGCAAAGAGTCTTTCCTCATTAGCGCTTCCTCCAGAATACCACAGCTTCCAGCAATCAAATTCACATCACGGCTGGGGCAAGTAATTAAATTCTGCAGGCATCAGAGCATAGAATAATGGATGGCTATTGTTAAGGACACTGAAGAAAATAGAATGAGGCTGAAAATGGAATGGGCTGCAATGCCCAGCCTCGGACACAGTCAGGGGTGGCAAGGGAGGGCGAGGGAGATGCACACAGAGCCTCCCACCTAGTCTAACACATGGGGCGGCAGATCACACTGGGCCACAAATCCAGACTGAGTTTGGGGCCAGATTCTGCACTCCAGATACAGGTCTCAGTTTACTCATCTGTCAGAAGGAGGTGGACTAGATAAGCCATTCTCTGCATGCAATCTCCACATAAGAGATGGAGGGGCACGAACAGCTCCCAGAAATTTGTTAGAAATGCAGATTTTCAGGCACTCCTGGACCTACTGAATTGGAAACCGCCAGTGGGATCCCAGGCCTCTGCCTTGAGCTAGCCACCCAGGTCATTCTGATGTGTCCTAGCCGGCACGCTATATTCTGAGCTGGCAAGACTGTCCTAGGATTCTCCAACTGCTTCTGAATATTAACTTCTGTGGGTCAGAGGAGACAGAGCTCGGTCAGGAAGGACAGCCAAGGAGGGGAGGGAATGCAGAGCCTCATCACAGGAGAAAACTGGGAAGGGAATCTTTCCTACCACCAGGAAAGACCACGATAAGTGGTCCTGACTTCTGTCTTCTGACAGCTGGCAAGGCTTCATGTGGATTCCACCTATGTGGCCCTCACGGCTGTGACTAGAAGGAACAGAAGCGCTGTAAGATTTCCTTTCAGCCTTGGGAGAACTTTCCATTGATCGTGGTTGTCTCAAAGGGAATGAGATGTTCCGAGGGGTAGTGAGCGCCCCCTGGTGAGGGACGTCTAGCAGAGGAAGGTGGATATCCCATTACTTATTTTCCCCTCTTGAAAGGGCGCTCCGCGTGTTCGTAGGGAAGCCCCTCCCCCAGGCTCGTGGAGTTGAATCTGTGTGTGGCTTCATGGGTGGCACGCTTCCCAGGCCAGCAGCTTGGAGCACCACATCTCACAGCCACAGGCAGGGCTTCAGGAGCAAGCACTCATGTGACCGTGCTGGGCCCATGAGAGCCTGGAACAAGCATTTCCGGGAAGAGGGACTTGAGGTGGGGAAGATGCGGGGCAGCTCCGGGCCGTCTGGTCAGCACAGGGATACAGAGTCACTTGAAAGCTCCCCTCAAAAGTGGAAACAGAAGAGTGGAGCAGAACTGTGGAGACTGGGCTCCGATAACATTCTTTGTGTCCCAGAAGCCAGGCTCATCCTGGAAGAGCTGGAAGGTTCCCTCTTCCCTTAAAGCAGCTGAGCTGGATTTCTGGTATCTGCAACTGGAAGAGCCCGGACCGCTCTTCATGGACCTAAGATCTCCGTTCCTTAGCCCAGACCTAAGATCTCCGTTCCACTTTGCTGTGGCTGACTTGAACCTCCTACTGAGAGGAAGGGCCACCTGCTTGGACTTCTGGGATGCAGGGCTATTTCTAGTCCTTGAACAGAGTCCCCTGTGCGAGGGGACATGGAGGACAAAGAAAAGATAGCTTGAAGCAGGCAGGCCAGCAGCCATCCAAACCCACACAGGGGCACATGCTAAAGATGCTTCTGCCCCTGCTCTGCACCACCTGCCCCAGCAGTGAGGCTTGGGAGCTAGGCGAGGAGCGGCACAGGGACCAGGAGGGTTTCCTTTCTCAGCTGGCTTTCCTTTAGTGGGCACCTCCTGGACACCAGGCCCATGCTGAACACTTGCTCTAGCACCTCTGCTGCTCAAAGCACCCCCAACACAGGTGTTACCATCTTCACTTCCCAGATGAGAATACGGAAGCTTGGCAAGACCTGCCCAGTGGTGGTCAGAGAGAGGCAGTTTAGAGACAAACTCCAAATTATCAAGTACACAACTGACAAGGGGCGAAAGCCCAAGGCATTCCCTTCTCCTGTAAGGAGGGGTGGTGGGGATCCTTGTCTGGTGACTGCAAGGGCCCGGGGCCTCTCATTACACATGGCAGGCTGGCCTCAGTCGCCAGGTTATATATAACTGACGTGACACAAAGGGGGCTACACCAGGCTCCGACCTGTCTCTCCTAGCCCACGGGGGCTGGGTCATTTCCTTTGTTCCACAGGCATAGGCCTGGTAACGAGCGGGCCGAGCTCAGCTGTGAACAGTTTTTCATTATTTTCCACCCTGTTAACCTCCATCACCAGTCAGGCTGCTGTCAGCCTAAATGAGAACTGAAAAGATTTATCTCACTTGTCCCAGGGCTCAGCTCAGGAAAAAGACCCTTCATTTCCTAACAGCCTGACAACCCTTTCTGTGGGAGTCACTCCCACCAGGGAGAAAAGCCATTCAGAAGCTGGGGTTGTTTAGGGACCAGGATTCCGGACCTGCAGCCCGCTGCCTCCCTTCCACTGGGCTTTGTACAGCACTGGGTGATTTTGTTTTGTTTTTGTTTTTGTTCTGGGAGGCACTGTGTATTTACCTTCCTAATTATGTTTGCTTATGCAAATATTAAACTTAGACCACATTTCATAAACACAGCCCCAGGAGGAGACCAGAAGTACATTATGTGGTAGGAAGAAATTAGCCTATGACTACCATTTTGCTATGGAAGTAATCTTCAAAGTAGACAACTCAAACCCATACCACGAGAGACGATTATACAGTATATCCAATCAGCTTGTCCCCTTCCCTGTGCTTCCAGCAATCCTCAGCCACCAAATCTCTCAAATTGGTAGCTAGAAGAGATGAGCTAGATTCTCTCAGTAATAACTGTCCCTCCCATTCATATGACCACAGCCAGCTTCCTCTGAGGGCTGTCAGGACTCCCCTCTGTCCTGTACTTGGTGACAACCCTATCTGCCTTCCCAACATCCCTGTGGATATTCCTATCCCCATTTCACAAGTAAGGAAACTGAGGCACAGAGAGTTCAAGTAACACACAGCTAATAAAAGATGAAACCAGAATTATGAATCTAAGTATTTAAGAAATCTACACCCAGAGGCCACACCCCAATATCTGGATAATGCCTCTCTCCTCCACACACTCCGTGTGTTTAACCTTTGCACTGCCCCTGGGGAAGAGTGACTTAAACTCCATTGGGTAGACAAAGGATGAAGCCCACAGAGGGTAAACGATAGGATTTTACAGAGGAGGTACACAGCACCTCAAGTGTGCAAGGTGCTATGTGAGGAGCTCCTGATACACAGCCTTCAGGGGACTTAAAAGGTGAAGGCCTTAACTGGGCACAGTGGCACAAGCCTGTAGTCCCAGCTATAGGAGGCTGAGGCAGGAAGACTACTGAAACCAGCCTGGGCAGCATAGCAAGACCTTGTCTCAAAAAACAGACAGAAATATATTTTTTGACAGGGAAAACTGTGTAATACAGTGTTACATACTTTGTGAGGTGATATAAGCAGGTAGTACTATCACATGATCTCATTTGAGAAAAATGCGTAAATACACTATGAAATGAATGAATTATAAGTACACAGAAAATATATTTGCATGTGTACATCTAAAGAAATACCTAGAACATTGAAGTGATTATTTTCAAATGACTGTATTTCTGGTAATTTTTTCATGTGTGCTTATCTCCCTTCTTCCAAGCCCCCTTCAGTGTGTGAGCACGGCTTGCCTAGCTAGGCAGAGGATGCGTTCTGGTGGAGGCAGCTGCAGCAGTGGCTGAGAACACTGTCTGCCAAGGCTTACCCAGAGCTCAAACCAGGGCTACAATCCCAGGTCCATCCGTCAACACTGCCCTCCCGGTCCCCTGTCCCCCCAGCCACATCCGCCAAGGCAGCAGAGAGTCACCACTCAAGCTTGGGGCAGAGGCCTGAGTCAGGCGAGGTGGCCTGCTTGCCTACCTTTTTGAAGAGTCTGATGACATCCTCGCTGATCTGGGAGAGGCGGACAATGACATTGTTCATGAAGATGTCATTGAGCGTGGCATGGTCTCGGCTCTCTCGCCGGGTCTGATGCAGGACCAGATACCAACAGTTCACTGGTGACAGAAGGTATTGGTCCTTCCTGTGGAAACCGAGACAGCTCAGACTGGCTCCTCGACAACTGTCATCACGTTTACATAGTCACCAACCTCTGCCCTTCATCCCTCACCACACCCCTTCGGGTCACTTTGATTATAAGTCATTAAGAGCTAAAGTGACCCTCTCTAGTTCAGAGCAGCACTGGGCCAGAACCTGGCCAGGTCTATGACTTTAAATCCTGGGTCACCTTCTTCTGCCTCAGAAGTAGTGGTTGCTGTAAGTGCCTCCACTTCTGGGGCTAAGGAGTGCTCAGCCAATTGTATTTGAAATAATTGTATGATTTATACAAGCATGCATAGGGAAGAACAACAAATGGACACTTCCCCTGCCCTTTCCTGTCTCCCCGACCTCTGAGTGCCTCTTTATCCTTCCCAGGAGTCTCTTGGCTCATGGAAACAAAAGTCTTGTGTTCTTTAGGAGGCCTTGTGGGGGTTCAGGTTCTATATTTTCAGGGAGGGGTCAGGTTAAGGATTGATAAATTCTTAGCAAGCTGTAGCTGGGCATTGTGCTAAAACCGGAGCTCTGAAAGTGCTCCTGGGCAGCACCAGTGCCCTTTGGCAACTTGTTAGAAATGCACATTCTCCAGTCCCTGCAGGATCAGATACCTTGTGGCTGGGTCCAGCCTTCCGGGTTGTAGCAAGCCCTCCAGGGCATCCCTAGGCACTCACATCTGAGAACCACCAATCTACATATCTTCTGCTTCCCAAACAAATGAAGCAGATGATCCATATCTTGAACGTAGTGTACCAAGGGCCCCTCTGTTGGCCTCAGAAGAGGGCTCTTGTACCCTATTCTCCAGGGCAGCAGAGGGAAGAGCAACTAGAAACCAAAACCCATTCAAGCTAGTGTTCCTATCTTGCCACATGGAGTAACTGTGCAAGAGTTCTTGTCCTCCACCCTGAATGTGTCTCTCACTCCACTTTCTAGTGCGGAAAAAGATATGGGAAAGGTAGGCTGTAGGAGAGAGGCTCCCTGAGGACTCCAGGGTCCCCTAGGCCTGCCCTGCCTGCCCCTGTCTGGAATGGAGCCACCCTAGGCACTGGCCAAGGTCACTGTCTCAAGAAATATAGCCTCTGAGACCAGAGTTCTTGACGAGGGTGACTCAACTGACTTCCAGGACGACTGCACCCTCTTCCTAGAGCCAAGTGCAAGTGCAGGGGGTGCTGCCCCCTCCTTACCTTCCCTCTAACTGCTGAGCCTTGGAAAGGTAGGTCAGGGCCCACTTGACCTCCAGGTACTTCTCATTCTGTTACCAAATGGGCTAAGAACTTGTCTAGACAGCAGGAATTTGAGCAAAGGGAATTCCATTTAGATGTGGGGTGGATGTTCTGGGAACTGTCTCAGGAAAGGGGAGGACGATAAAACATTTAGACATGCTGCTGTGGGAGAGAGAAACAGACTTCTCTTTTGCTTGGTTCTTGGAAAGAGTGAGAATACGGAAGCTCAACCCAGCCAGAGTCCCTGTGTGTTTGCTCTGGCAGGTTCTGGGTTTTGCTGTGGACACCCACACGAGATGGGACATAGAGCTCCCTGGGAGGGGCTCACTGCCAGCTGGCTGTGGCAGAAGAGAGGTAGACAGGAGGCAGCAGTCCACAGCAGGGAGTGCACAGGCACGGTTTGGCAGGAGCAGCCACGGCAGTCACCATGTTCCTTCCTCCCTTGCTCTCTGTGTCATCACCTAGTCCCACGGGTTTTCACCCCAGGTTCTTTCCCATGGGGACAATCGCACATGCTGTTCCCATCCCCTGGAGTGTGCCAACCCTCTCCTCCCCTGGCCGACAGCTCCCTCCCCTTCTGTAGGTACACTGTAAATGATACCTAAAGCAGCAGTTCCCAAGGTGTGGCTCCTGGCCTGCCATCTTGGCATCACCTGGAACCTGCTAGGAATGCAAGTTGTCAGGGGTGCTGCAGCCTAGCACCTGTGTATAACTGCCCTCCAAGTGATTCTGATGTACACACACGTTTGAAAACTTCTGAGCTACAGTTTGGATCTGGAGTGTTCACTGTGTATGCAATTGGGAGGTGGTAGGGCCTTTAAGAGGTGGAGCCTCTTCAGATCTTTGGGGGCATGGTCAGACTCAGTCCCTGCTTGCTGTTTCCACTTCCTGGCCATGAAGTGAGTGGCTTTGCTACACCATGTGCTCATGGCATAATGTGCTGCTGCCTACAATCGGACTAAAAGCAACAATTTACCCTGGCATGGACTGCAACCTACAGAACTCTAAGCCAAATGAACCTTTCCTCTTTGTAGGTTGATCACCTTGTGTATTTGTTATAGTGAAGGAAAGCTGATAAATACATTCTTCCTTTAGTTTCCAACCCCCATCCCTCACCCTCAGGAGAGGTCTTTGAGAGCAGGGATTGTTCCTGTTGTAGACATCTCATCCAGTTGCCAGCAACATGGCTACCACATAGCAGATGCTGTGGAAGAGAGGCCCATGGGAAAGTCATATTTTTGCTAGGTCTTGAGGATGATTGGGAATTTTTCCAAATGATCAAGGGGAGAGAGAGGCAGGAGTTGTAGGTGCCAGGATGTGTGGGTACAAACATAGTGAAGTACCTCAGGCCCAGGGGAGCTAGAATTCTGACCATACTAGTGTTACACATGAGGTTGGGAGGACAGAGTAAGGCCTTGATTGTCATGGTCACAGAATGCCAGGCTAAGGGGCTGGAACTTTATCTTGCGGGCCACATACTTCCAAAACCTGACCTGCACAATATAATCACAGGGGAACTTCTAAGAACCACCAAGACCAACTGAGTCAAAATGTCCAGAGGTAGAGCTTGGACTGGTATTTTAAAATACTCTTTGGGAGATTCTAATGGGTAACCAGAGTTAAGAACACCTGCTCTAGAGAGTGCAAAGTCACAGACATTATTTAAGCAGAGGTATTGTAACCACCACTGCAAAATTAAACTTTAAAATTTAGATTTTGTTTTCTTCTAGGGATAAGCAATTTCTCTAAACTTCCTCCTACTAAGCAAGTAACCAGCCCCCTCCCCTTCTCAGCCCAGCAATGATAGTACATGCAGATGCTGACACCAGGTGGCCACAGGAAAGAGGAAGAGGAGCTGGAGATGGCTGGAATGGCACAGCAGGTGTGGCGATCTGAAGCCCTCTTTCTGCTCCCCTCCACGCTGTCCCTTATTGTAAAAGACTTTGGCCACCTATACATGGCGAGATGGTGATCTGAGGAAAATGGGCCCCTCCATCTCCTCTGAGCTAGCTTTGAATGCATCTTTTTTTCCTGTTTACCAAAATAGATGGCCTCCTTTGATTTGGTCAGTGGTTAGCAGATGAACCCGAGTGTAGGAACCCGAGCACTGGATCTCAGGCAATAGGAGAGGGGTGCTGACAGGAACGAAGACGACCTACAAGGGGAGAGTTGGGTGTGGTGGTACACATCTGTGATCCCGGCACTCTTAAGGGACTGAGGCAGGACGATGTGAGTTCAAGCCCAGCCTACACAACTTAATGAGACTCTGTCTCAAAATAAAAAGTAAAAAAGGGATGGGGATGTGTCTCAATGAATAGGGTCTGGGTTCAATCCATAGTACCACAAAAACAAAAATGATTGAAGATACCACCATGTATTACAGCAGCCACTGATATTTTCCTACTAATCTGTCCATAACTCTGTAATGTTTGTATTGTTCCTATGCTATTTCGTAAATAGATGTATGTTTATTACTGTGTATTCCCTACAATAACCATTGAGAATAGTCGATGATTATTCAGTTGGTCACTCATGTATAGCTCTATTTATTTTCTTTAGAAACCACTTTGAAGATACCAAAGTACAGTACAACAACCATTGATAATCACCTGCCACTTTTGTCTGTAACTCACTATTATTTGTCTATTTGTTTTCCTGAGAAACTATCTTGAAGATAACAATATGTAAAACAGCAACCATTGATAATTTCCTACCGCTTTGTCTATAATTTGGTAAGCCCCCCTACTCCTATGTTATCCTCCTTTTACTCTTTAAAATAAAAAATAAAAAAACAAAAACAAAATTGAAAAACTAAAGGGGAGAAATAGGTTTGGGCAGCAAGTAGTTTGTCCTTCCTGTTTCTTACTGCCTCCTGGGGGTCGGGTAGAAGGAATAAAGGAGAGATGAGGTGATTGAGCTCTTACCTAAACTGCTCTTGGGCTTAGTCCAACCTGGAATGCAAGAACTGAATAGCACAGGGGAGTTCAATGGGCAAAACTGATGGAAGTGGCAGCCAGAGGTGAGCTCAGAGGGAAGGGGAAAGACAAGAGATCGTCAAGAGGCTCAGAAATGCTGGGACGCAGTGTGGGGGCCATCAGTTAGGTCAGCTGGCCAGAGAAGCATGGTGAGAGGAAGGGCAGAAAAAACAGCGGTTTCCTTATCAGAGATGTGGGCCTCAGTCACTGGAGGAGGCAAGACAAGCGGAAAGGAGGGGAGGGAAGGGGGAGGGAATTGTAATATAGCGCCACAGAGGCAGCAGATGAAAGAGCTGCGTTTATTCCGGTGTTCTAATGGCTCCGTGTGTGTGTGTGTGTGTGTGTGTGTGTGTGTGTGTGTTTACAAGCTGGGGCTGCACATGCAGCAGAGACCAGAGCTGGCAAGCCCCTGGTGAGCAGGGAGTCTCAGCTAGCTTTCCAGACGGAGGAGGCCCTTTCTAGACTGAGCATGAAGCCGGCTTGGAGTTAGTTACAGGGCGCTTTCCAGGTGGGGAAACACAATGGCCAAAGGCCCAGCAGGAAGCAGGAGCTGGCATGCTGGTGGGCTGTGTCGCCAAGGGGCCCATGCACAATGTTCTGCGGTGGAGTTGGGGTGACAAGTGAGGCTAGAGAATGAGGCGGAGTCCACGAGGGAAAGGCCTTCGAGTCTCAGGGAGCAAAAGGGACTGCTGAAGGATTTGGCACAGGGAAGGGCAGGGAGGTGCGCCCCCAGAGTCTCACTGCAGCTGCCGCTTGCTGGGGGAAGAGGGGGAGGTCCTGAGGTGGTAAAC